CCAATCGGCGGCTTCGGCGTCGCAGATCGAGACACCTCCATATGCACGTCTGGCCCAGGGCTCCGAGAGTTCGCCTTCGGTTTCGGCGCCGGAGGCGGCTTAGGTGTCGGGGGTTCACTCTTGGCCTTCGAAGTTAGTGGGAGTGGGGGCTTTCTAGCCCCCTTCATGTAGAGCTTGCTGGAATCCTCCAGCATCTTGCGAGTTGCCTCGCGTGTGCGTTCTTCTACTGTCCGAATATGCTCCTCATCTTCCGCCACACGTTGAGCCTTTGTCTCGTCCTTGATGATCGGCTCTGGTTGTTGGGACTGGCTAGAGACGCCAGGCGAGTTTCCTCGCATACCAGGAAGACTAAAGAGCGCGTCTTTCTCTTCCTGGGTCATGGCTACCATTCCCCTTGGAGCCGGAGTAGGTTTCTCTTTTTCTTTCAGATCCAAGTGGCCCAAGATCCCGAGACGACTATACACTACTGCGATCTCTTCCGGTGTCATCGGGTCAAGTGGCGGATGGCCCTCTTTAGGAGGGGTTTTGCCCCTGTTGGGGCTCAGGCCTTCGTTGTTTCCAACGGGGCATCCTGGCCTGTGATTCTGGAACGGCTGGGAACAAGGACCACATGCAGCGTGAGGCCTATACTGCTTGCGAGCCGCGATAATATCTCGCAACTGGGTCCGCGCTTCCTGAATTTCAGGGCGGCGGATGTTTGTTGCAAGCTGATAGCCTCCACGGATGGGCCTGCCATCGCCGTCCCTATAGGCAGGATTGCCCTGGCCAAAGGCCGAGTGTTCCCCTTTTCGGCGTCGTGGGTCGATGTGCGGAAGTAGCTGGCCACCTCTTCTGAGAGCGTGTTCCTTTGGGCCAGCCTGTCTCCACTCACGAGGAAGTCGAGCCTGGGGATGTGGCTCTTCTCTGACGCGCGTATGGGAACGAGATCTTCTGGTGTTCTCATCAGAAGAAGCTGCCGATGCAGCAGGAGCGGCACCCGTTGGAGGTGCTTGAGGAGGCTCCTCTGCGATCCCAGATGGATCGCTCGATGGAGGCAGGTCTCCCTGCTGGGTGGAGCTCGGCGCAAGTGGCTCTTGTGCCGATGGTGATGATGATTCAGACTCATCAGGGTCGAAATCGACCTCTTCCTCACCAGTCACGTCCATCATGAGGATGGTGACGTCATCCTCATCTAACCCACAACCATCGCCTTCTACTTCTTCTGATGTCGAACTACCAATTATGATGGCCATTGGCGCATCTGGTAAAGGCAGGTTTCCCTGCATGGCCGGCGTCTGGGCGTCGCTCGGCTGTCCTGGAGTAGGAGGCACAGTCGTCGGCTCAGGGTCATCGACGAGCATAGGCTGCCTAGCAATGTTACGCATGGCCGTATGGTTTGGCCTCATCCCCAGCTCCTGGAGATTCCATCCTGGCGGGGGAAGATCATGACCACGCATAGCCATTGCCATTTCCAGGGCACGACGCCATCTACCATGGGAGTATATCAAGTGTCTCTGCACTTCCTGAGGATTTATACTGTCAATGAGAGTCAAAGCTGCCAAGAGTAGCTCTGAGCTACCGCAAGCATCATTATCCTGTTCTGTCATGATGCCAGCTTCGATGTGTTCTTGACTCTCAGGATAACCAATTGTGAGTATCTCATGCATCCTCATGAGGGTCTGCAAAAGGGTACGTGGTCCATATTCGCCTGGAGCAAGCGAACCAGGAGGTATGAACGGAATATCTGGTTCGCCTGCAATGAAGGCCTGAACAAATGCCTGAGACTCCATGTCGATTAGGTCTTCAGTGGTCTGGGGATATTCCCCCATCAAAGAGGGCCTGTTTCCAGGCGGGATTTCGGGCGGAGGTTCGAGGTTCCGTTGAACCTCGGAAGGCGAAGCCTCTATAGTGGTGTCCTCGTCGTCGCTCTCGTAGGCCATGATGTTGCCTGGGTTCCCGAACATCCAGTCGAAGAAGGAAAGAGGCTCGTTTCCGAGCGTACCGTGTTCCACGGGAGTGAGTTCATTACTGCCCGTGACGAACCGGCGGACGTACTCGAGGTAATACGCGTATAATCCATGACCATACCCCTCGAGCTCGTCAATGTTGTCCATGCCAACGACCCATGTGAAAAATATCTGTTCCATAGCCTCAAAGTCCTGGAGGCTCAGATACTCAATGGATGGTGTGCTTGAGCCGAAATGGACTTCGGACGACATGCCCTTTCCATTTCCCTTCGCTGGACAATCTCGCACAAGATGATCGGTACTACCACATTCATGGCATTTGAGAACCTGGCCGTCTCTACCTCGCGGGTTTCCCCGCCTACCTTTACCTTTACCTGAGGTCTCTCTACGGCCTTTACCGCGGCCTTTTCCCCCATAGAATATCTCATCATGTTGTTCATCTGAGAGCCTCTGGAGAAATGCCGCGATACCTCGCCCGTTCAACCTCCGACGACCACGCTTGCCTTTACCCTTTCCTTTAAAACTTCTGCGTATCCTCCTTCTAACACGACGCACTGGTTTTCGTGTAAACCTCCTCCACCTTCGTCTAGCCTGTTGTAACAGCCAGAATAAGTGCTCAGCACGCTGATTGTCGTTATCCATATCCATGATATCTGACCAATCTAGAGCTTCAACACCATCTGATGATATAGTGTCTGTATCGGTGCCGGAGTCGAAATCTTCGTCTCCTAATTAGGTGGATACACCGTCGGTTAGGGGATTTGATTCCCCCCATAACGAGCGGTGGGGTTGTGGTTCTCTAGAAGGAGGGCTGGTTGCCCAGCTTGGTTGTGATCGATCCCCTGCTAATAAAGCAGTGGATTCTCCTGGGTCATCGGCCCATATGTTTGAGGGCCCGTTTCCAGGCTGGGCTTCAGTAGTCAAGGTAGTGTAGAAATTTCCACTACCAGATCCCCTTCCTCTTCCAAACACGGATCCTATGTTGCCAGGAGATCGTTCGGATAGGTGGCCTACCGAACGCATCCTTTCCAGCAGCTCATCATATTGTTGTTGTGTTCGAGGCATTTGGTGGTTGAGTGGCTGTAAGAGTTGCATGGCTTTCTGGTTGCCGACGCCTAAGGCGCGGAATAGGATAGTGGTTAGCAGTTGGAAGTTAGGAAGGTCGAATCCCACCGACTGTGCCTCAAGTCGGGCCATTTCGAATCGGGTAAGAGTGACATCGATTCGTTCCCCGTGAGGCACATGGAAGTCGATGAGTTGTGTGCCGGAAGTGAGCTGTCGCTCATCTTCCAGGCGTTCGAACTTCATGCTGAGGAGGAACATGATGTAAGTTACTGGGTCTGTGTGGACCCCATCAATGTCAGCACCATAGTTTATAATGTCAGGCGGTACCCTCATGGCGAGTGTCCTCGCTAGGCCTCCCAGGCCGCGTTGTATTGCGGCCGCTTGGGCCTGTGGCGTCATACGTCCGCTTGTAACGTTGAGCCACGCGTTGACCTCGTAAATGTACTCACGAAAAGGTACATTACCCTGAGGGTCCCAATATGGGCCATGTGTTTGCCCATCGGTGCTGTTATCTCCCCGACGCATGTGTGCGATTGCTGCCCCCAGCGCGAACCATATGATAGCGAAAACGATTAGCCCGAGAATGTGTAACAAAGGACGGTTATGATGAGCGGTGTCGCGCTGGGGTAGCGCCTTGTCGAGTCTTCGAGGCGCTCTGTCTGGCGGGTTTCCCCGCCCTTGCTTCAGGTATTGCGTTATTGGCTCGTTGCCGAGCGGTTGATAGTAACGCAATGGTGAAACGCATATGGTACCAATCTGGTCGTCTAGACGTCGTACCTCTCGTGTCGCTTCTTGCTCTTGAATAGATCCTCGTAAATGTACTGGGAGTGGTGGCGCAGCGTAGTAGGTGGTCACGAAGATCGTGCCGAAGAATGTGAGGCTAAGAAGAGCAAGAGCTGACCACACGAGAGTGCGGCCAGCTCCGCTACCAAGTCGAAAGTGAGCCTGGTAACTCAAATAGGGCATATAGCCTGGCAAATTGCATCCATCGCTCTGCTGTGAAGGTACAGTATGAGGGGTGGATGGGTAAGATAGGATAAGATCGATGTAGTGATCTTTCCAGCACATAACGAACACTCGCGGTGTCCGGGCAAATAGGGCGCGCGTGCCTTGAGCCCAAGGCAGCGGCGCGCGAGCTATGCTCCCGATACTGTAACATCTCCCAAAGAGCTACCCTTAAAGTGGGGGCGTCCCGACCAGACTCCCGGAGAGAACCCGGCCGTGGTGAGAAGCCGCCTGGAGAACAACGAAAACAGCGAACAACGCACGGCAGCTCGATCCTCGATCCCCAAAACTTCCCATGTGGACGCCCGAAATGTGTACGGAACAAAAAATCAAGCTCGATGTGAAACCACAAATGATGTCCCAAACCGATGGCGGCCTTCTGTCTTTTTTGGGACATAGCCCGAGGTGGCACCGACATCAAGCCGTCTTCGAGATGAACAGGAACTGATGCCCTGAGATCTGACGTACTGCTTTTCATAATGGGGTCCCCAAACAAGTCCCGAGCCTTTCGCCAGGGCCGGTTCTTCATGCCGAGTCGTTCTTTGCCAGGCTCCGAGGAGGAGCAAGAAGATGAATAAGAGAAAGAGGATGAGGATGAAGAGATCAGAGGAGGCCTTGTATTCGCCGTTTTGGGACTTCTGGCAGACCCTCAGCGCCACCCCTGGATTCGCCTCAACATTCTGGCCGGTCGTCGTCCTCATTCTTTCCATGCCCATTTCGAGCACACCGATGTCACAAGACTGGCGTGTGTGTGTGTGTGTGTGTGTGTGTGTGTGTTTTAGAGGCCTCCCAGACGGGCTTGGAATAGATGGGGTTGGAGGGTCGCGCAGCATCGCCGATGCATCACCACCAGCGTTCGGCGATACATCGGCGACGTTGGCGATGCACCAGCGACGGTGGCGTGGAGAAAATCGGGCTTCACATCGAGCTGCATCGCCGATGCATCGGCGACGCGGCGCCATCCTCCGACACCATCTGAGAAGCTCCAAGCTGTTGTGCCCCCCGAGCCCCCTTGGCGCTGGCCTGGGCTCCGCGCAAGCCGCGCCCGGTGCTTCGCTCAGTGGCCGCCGCGGAGGGGCTCGTAGATCGGCACCTTCAGCGGCTCGTCGGTCTTCTCGGGGCACATCTGGCGGTAGACGAACGGGTACTGGATGCCTGGATCGGGCGTTGCTACACTGGGGGGGGGAGCAGCACGCTTAAATCTGGGCGTTTCTCTTCAAGTTCGGCCTATCTGGGCCCGTTGTCGCGCACGCGCACCATCGAAACTGCACCCGGGGCAACAAGTTGGCCCTGGGGAAGGGGTATGGACCTCTGGGGTTTTGGATGTCTGGTTCGGAAGTCTTCTGCTTACTCGCGATAATTGAGGACGAAGAACGATAGAAACATAGAAACTCGGAGGTCCGCACGGATTTCTCGGATCGGCGCTGGCCCCCCCCCCCCTCCCTGGCGCGCGGAGCGCGCCAGGGGCGGCGCTGGAGGCGCCACCACGGGGCCCCAGCGCCCATCCGAGAAATCCGCGCGGACTTCCGAATTATTATGTTTATATCATCGTTGGTTCCCCTAAATAACGCCCGCGACTGGCCCCGCAACCCCCTCCCCCACCCCTGGCCACCTCGCGATTCACGCCAGCGCCGTCTTGGAATGAGCGGTTCCTACACATTCCCGGACGGCGCCCAGGCACGCCCGGAGTAAACAAAAACTGTCCCCTGGATCGTTCGTTGCGTCATCATTGGGGCGGGGGCAGCAAGCAAAGATCTCCGACGACATGTTTCCTTCGATCTGTGCGTTTCTCTCCGATTTCGGCCTCTGGGGGTCGATGTCGCGCCCAGGCGCCATCGAAACTGGATCTCGGGGAAAAAACTAGCCATGGGGACGGGGTCGGGACCTTTCGGTCCATGCGTTGCGCAAATCATATCGTATCGGCGGATGTCTGGGATGTCTGGGAACAGGGTGATGGAAACAGGTGCAACTCCTGTGTTTTTTGACGAGCGTGGTCGGGCGACAAGCGCTGCCGCAAGCGCCCCAAAGAGGCGCCGACTCAGTCGGGCACCTTGGGGAGCTGCGCAATACGCCGCGCCGCCGGCGCCGCGAATTCGGATACGCTGCCCTCCGCGCAGCGCGCGTCATGCCGCAGGAGCAGGCCTTGCCCCCGCGCGAGCAGCTGCTCCCTCCAGCCTGGGCACGCACTCCCAAGCGCCTCCGCCAGCGTCGCTGCGCTGGCGCCGCAGCGGAGACAGGTGGCGCGGCCCGGCCCCTGCGCGAGGGCGCGCGGCAGCCACGACCGCTCTGCGAAGAAGGCGGCGAGCCTGGCGCCAGGGCAGCCAGGGTCGTCTCCGCCGCAGCGCCGCGGCGGCGGCGACGGCGCCGCTGGCCCAGCAGGGGGCGGCGGCGCCCGGCGGCGCGGAGCCCGCGCGAGCCCAAGCCCCGCGGCGCACGCTGCGCCAGTCGCGCGGCCTGCGGCGGGCGGCGGGCGGCGCCGCTGCCATGGCAGCCAGCTGCGTGGCTGCGAGCACGCGTTGCGCTGCCTCCAGCTGCTCGAGCTCCCGTCGGCGCGCTGCCACCGCTGCCTGAGGCGGGGCCCGCTGCGCGGCGGCCGCGCCAGCGTTGCCGTCGGCCGCCGCGTTGCCAAGGCAGTCCCGCTCGTCCATCCCGCGCTCGCGGGCTTCCGCTGCCGTCAGGTGCTCGAGGACCCAGCGGGCCCTCAGGATTCCGCTGCGGATGGCATCCACCTGCTGCCAAAGGTCGGCGTGCTCCCACTCCCGCGCGTCCGCGCCGGCCGCGACCTGCGCGCAGGACCGAACGACGTACTTGCTGTCAGAGGCAAGGTCGATGGGATCGCCGACAGCGCGCGCGGCCGCGACCGCAGCCGCCACCTCGGCGCGCTGGGCAGTCTGCACCCCGTCGACCGGGCTGCTCAGGTTGGGCTCGCCGGAGCCTGCACAGCGTAGACCCCGCGCCGCGCGCGCCAGCAGGGGGTCCGTCGGATGGATGCAGGCGCCGTCGCTCCAGACAGTGCGGCGGGGCGCGGTGGGCTGCAGTTCGGCCTGCGGCGGGAACCTCGGGTCCTTGTTGCTGGCGGCGCCGGCGAGGGCAGCAAGGCGTGGCGGCATGGCCAATGCCCCCGTGGTGGCGACCGCAACCAGCAGCTCCTGGCGAAAGGCTGCTACCTCGGGGGACAGAAAACCCGAGGAGGTGAAGGCGGCGCGCGCCGCTTGCCCTCCCACGCTGGACACGCTCAGAAAAGGTGTTTGCGGTCCTCCAGGGCCAGGCCGCAGTGCGGGCAAGTCTCCGAGCGACCATTCCACCTCGTGACCACGCTGCCACGTAGGACGTTGCCACGCTGACCACGCTGCCACGTAGGACGCTGCGCAGCGCTCCGGCGGCGTCGGCCTCGAGCGCGCCAGACACGAGCAAACGTCGCGTCGCCCAGCGGTCCACGCCGTCGGCCAGGTGGGCGTGGCACGGCCGGCGGACCGCGACCTTGCGGCATTCGGCACGGGCCCACGCCGCGAGGACGACGCGCTCGGCTGCTCTCCGCGGCCGGTCAGCGGGGCGCCAGCCGCCAGGCGCCGTCGGCACGCCGCCCCAGCACTCCACGTCGCCTCCCAGCCCCAGCTCGCGCATGCTGCGCAGCGCGGCGGCAACGGGCCCGATGGCGCGCCCGGCCCCCGCATGGACAGCCGCGGCCGCGCTGCGCCACAGGGCGAGGTCGAGCTGGCCAGATCGGAGCGCCCGCGCGGCCCGCGGCACCGGAGCGATCGTGCAACTTCTGGGCACGTGTTGGGCCCCAGGGGGGCCTCTTCGGGGCCCCTGTGCTTAGACAGGTGCGCTCCGCCACTCGCAGAAGCAACTCGCAAATGGCCTGGATCCGCCGCGGGGGATCTACGATCCATGACACAGAGGCCTCCCAGATGGTGTCCGAGCAGATGGGGTCGGAGGATCGCGCCGCATCGTCGATGCATCAGCGATGCATGGGCGACGCTTGCAGTGCATCGACGACGCTGGCGTGGAGAAAATCGGGCTCCACATCGGGCCGCACTGCCAATGCATCAGCGATGCGGCGCGATCCTGGGACCCCATCCACTCCGACCCTATCTGGGAGGCCTAGAGATCCAGTGCAACGAGGCGCACATGTGCTTCTCGGACGCTTGCGAGGAGGCACTCTGCGAGCAGTGGAAAACGCGCTCGGCGAAGTCTGCAACCCTCGACCACCCGCCTCCCTCAGTTAACCACAAAGGGTCTTCAGACCCCCCTCCTTATTTTTTTCGGCGGCCTTATTGAAAGACTGGGGCCCCAACAATACAGAAGAAGAGAAAACATCATAAACATGAACTTTTGGCGCTCCGCGCGGATTTCTGGGATCTGCGCTGGGCCCCCATCCCTGGCGCGCGGAGCGCGCCAGGAGCGGCGCCGGTGGCGCCGCCGGGGGGGGCCCAGCACGGATCCAGTTTATGCTTGTGGCGTTTGTTTTTCTTCTTCGGCAGTGGGGGGGTAGCCTCCCCCATAGATCGCACCCCCCACCCAGTAGAGCAGGGACCGACCGTCCCGGCATTCCTATTGGCCTTCCACGAGATGTTCCTAGAACCCACACATGTTCGAATACCAGACACAGTGTTCTTAGAACATAGACCCGATGTGTTAGAACAGGACAGTCCTAGCCAGGAATGTTCGAATACCATTTCGTGCAAACCACAAAAGGTTCTTAGAACATTCTGTGGTGGGCCTATCGTCGGGAGCGGCCAAGAGGGGGTGTCCAAGAGGGGGGGGTGCAAATCATGGCCAGCGGCATGTGCGCGGCCCAGCGGGGAGGCCAGGCATGTAATGGAATAAGAGGAGGCGGCGTGACATCTGGAGAAATAGCATGGCCCCCGCCATGATGTCCCCCCCCCCTAGTCATCACCCCCCCCCCCCTAGTCATCACCCCCACCCTCCTTTCCGCTCCCGAAAGAGGCAAGCCAGGACGCTTCGCCACTGCTTGACACTCCAGGAATGTTCTAATCCCATCTCGTGCAGACCACAAAAGGTTCTCAGAACATTCTGTGGTGGGCCCATGGGCAAGCCAGGACGCTTCGCCACTGCTTGACACTCGCCCCGCACCCCCCCCCGGGACGGCACGCCCGACTGGAGGCCCGCCCGGCCGAGGCCAGCTCTCGAGGCTGCAGTCCGACGCGCGAGGCCGGAGGGCAGACGCGTGCTTCTGCTCCAAGGGGCGCGTGGCTCGAACCCTCTCGTCGAGGCGCAGCCAGCACTCCTCCTCCTCCTCCTCCTCCTCCTCCTCCTCCTCCTCCTCCTCCTCCTCCCCCTCCTCCTCCGCCTCCTCCACCTTGCCCTCCCCCCCTCCTCCTCTTCCTCCTCTTCCCTCTCCCCTTCCTCCTCCTTCTTCCTCCTCCTCGTCCCCGAGGACAAGATTGGACGAGAGCACATCGGGAAGCTCAGAATTCTGGCGGCTCTGGAGCACTGGAATAAGAAATAATTGCATAAACATAAACTTTGGGCGCTCAACAATTATGTTTATGCCGTTCTCTCTTTTTCGAAGGATGTCTCGGGTGCCGCGGCCTCCTCAGAGCGTTCGGGAACCCTCCGAGAGGGTTCCACAAACCCTCTGGAACGGATTGATCCTGGTATCAGCCCCGCCCGACTCGTCGCACTGGCCAAATTCCTGTCGAAGGCCTTGCCAGAGCGCATCCCTGGACAGGTGTGGGGACCGATCTGAGAGATCGGAGGCTCGCACAGAATCGCCGACGCATCGGCGATGTTCTGGAGATGTCGGGATGCAGGGGCTCGGGATCCGGACCGGGCCCCAGGCACCGCTCCAAGGGATCTGCGCGGAGCTCCGAGAAATGATCCTTATAAATTTGTTATTCGAGCGCAGTCGAAACTGACAGTAAGGATGAGCGACAAGGAATGCCAAAGCCTCCCGAGCGGGGCTGGCCATCGAGAGTGGCTCAGGCTGGACCGACCAGGCATGGCTGCAAGAATGCCCTTGAGAAGGCTACCCACCCGCACACCACCGACTCCGACGAGAGGTCTCGGATCCCTGCCGTCAGGTCGGGCCTGTCCTCCCACAGGCGGATTTTGGACGAAAAAATAAAGGTACTCAACACGTGATCAGAAATAGCTCGGACAAATCGTCTCCAGACTATTCTTCGCCTAGT